GAACACAGGGATATTTCAGCTGATAATTTCCTCTCGATGATTTGTTGCCATTGATTTTTAACTGCCTCCTGCTTGCTGACTAGTTTTCAATCTCAGTAGTTATCCTGGGGGGGAAGCCTTACTCTCTGAATTTTGCTTACTAGCCTCTTCTGAAAAGTCAAGCTGGAGCCCAAATAAATCTTCTCTGCCGTGCCTTGCCTTTTCTTCATCTACTTTCTTATTTTCCTGCTCAAAAACATGCAATAAAATTAGTCTGGCACAAGATCTATTTCATGTGATCCATGCTGACGATTGTTTAGCTCCACATTTTCTCTGAAATAGTTGCTCATTCTTTTCCTGTTGTTATAAATGATCCCCAGCCATTTCCAAGGCGCTGAAAGGTTGGGCAGCGTTCCCAAGGCACAGAGGGAAGCGTGTCTGAGAGGCACCGAGGGCCTGGGAGCCACCAAGGAGATGCCCTGTGACCTGGGGCAGGGGGACGAGGAGCCGGGGACGAGGGGGACCACGCTGATGGACGGTGGCTCGCTTCCCAACATGGTCTTTCTCCTCCAGCTCCGTTTGGTCGGGACGTCAGTCCGTGCCCGTTGCTGGCTGCTTCGCCCGGCTGCAGTGTCTGCACGGCACCTGCACGGCTCCATCGGCCGGAGCCTGGAGCCACAGGGCCAAGCTCGCTCCCGTCCTCCCACGGGGGACGTGGGGTAGATCTGGCTGGTGACTTTGATTAAGGGTGCCTGGGAAGGCGGGGGGACGGGCAGGATCTGCCCCTGCATGGATCGTGATGTGAGAAAGAGAAGATGCTTTTGAGATCCTCTTGATCTTGGAAAAAGGGAATGGTTTAAATACGGGAAGCATTATTCTCCGGTCAGAGACGGAAAGGAGCATGGCTCGCAAACAGCTCCGTGGTTTTGCACGTGTGAATAAATCCACAAATGCTGCTCGGCAGTGGCCGTCAGTGCCATTAGCCCCAGCAGCCACGTCCCGGACCCGTTTGCCATGGCAGACCTTGGTGGTGGGTGAGATTTCGAAAAGCTGTCAGCGTTCCCTGAGTCCATCTCTCTTTGAAGCCGGTGGGAGGGGTTGTTTGTCTCTTTCTGATTGTTTTTTTCCTCATTAGCTTCAATGGAAAAAGAGCGCAGCCACCACGGAGGGCTTTGGGAAATCATAGCCGATTGTGCTCTGGTTTGAAATGTATTCGGGTGTTCCCTGCGAAGTCCCCGGGAGCAGAATCTGCTCTTGGCACGTTTGAGCCTGGTGAATAAGCTGGAGGGTGGGGAATTAGCTGTAACCGTCGCGCCTCCGCGCTCCATCCCTTTGAACAGTCGGTTGATGTGACAGCGTGGGCACCGACGCGGCCCCTGGGCATGTTTGGCTGCAGCTACTGTGACATTTTGTGCAGCTGGTGTGCATGACTCAGAGACCAAAGGGGCGAGAGCTGAAATCCAGAGGTCCTCGAGGACATGGCGAGGACGAGGTAGAACGGTCACCGCGCTCGGCAGCCAAACTCCTAGAAACTTTGCCCAAACGATGCTGTTCGATCAGCAAAGCCAGGGGCCGGGTGGGTGACCGGGGTCCACCTCTGTGCCGGCCTGATATAGGAGCGAGGATTCGGAGGCTGGGAGCATCCTTCAGCAGCACCCGGGGGACACAAATCACAGTAAAGGCTGAGGAGCAATGAAGAGGAGAAAGGAAAGAGCTGGTGTCTGCTCCTGCGTCCGTGGGCCTGGGGCTCCGGCTCCAGCATTCTCCCACTCCTGAAATGCTGCAGCTTTGTATCCTCTGTGGAAAAGTGGTCTCTGGGATTATGGCTCAGAGCTATTCCCAGTGCTGCCAGTGTGCAGCCCTTCTGCGGGAGGCTCCAGATGGAGTGGTGTGGATCGTGGGTTGGGAAATTCATCTGCAGGAAAATCCCTGGGGGTGAGCAGCTCCCGTGGGAGCCAGTCTTGGGAGGCTGCAGGGGATGGAGGAGAGGCCACAAGGGGTCTGAGGTGCTGGTGGCCCTGGGAGGTCTGGGGAAGGTGGGGGGCTCATCGGGCTCGGCCATGGAGCCCATGGCACGTTTGGGGGGGGCAGCACTGCCAGTACCAGCCAAGTGCTGGGCAAAGGGTGGGCTGGGGGAGACACCAGGGTGGGAGGGACCACTGAGACCATCCAGGCACAGCCGCAGCCCTGCCGCCCCGCCGTGCCGGGAGCGACCGGAGCGGGGCCCTGTGTCTGGGAGAGCACAGATGTGTCTCTCTCAGATGAATTTAAGGCCTTTTCTTTCTCTGTTTGTATAAATGGTGAATGGCCATTAGCGGTTGGAACAGATGACCAGGCAGCGGGCTCGCTTTTCCATCACTTGGAGCCCTGGAAGATGCGGTGAGCTCTGGTTTACCTGCCAGCTGTGTGGCCCTGGGGCATCTGGCAGAGGCTGCCTGGGCAAATAAACCCTCTGCCCTGGGGCTGGGCTCCCACCTAGCCTCTCCGGATCTTCTGGCTGTCCATTAGGATGCTTTAAAGAAATAAAAATCCCCAGGGACTGTCCTTGCAGGTTAATTCAGCTATTTGCTGCTAGCCAAAGCCATCTGGATTGCTGTTAGGGGTAGGCTGGGGACGTGGGGAGGGACGGGGACACCCTGTGCAGCCCCAGCCCCGCTGCAGCCAGGCAGAGCCCCGAGCACCATGTCCCCCACCTCTCACAGATTTAATCTTAGCAGGGCTGCATTAGAGAGGCTGCGTGCAACACGCAGGTTACAGCTGCCATCTTCATGTCATAGTCTGTAAAACTTAAAATTTCCAGAGCCCTGTGCAATCAAATCAGCCCTTGCAACCCCTCCTTAATTTTATTAGTTTGTCTGAGCAGCCACTGAGTATTTAAGAAGGAGGGAGTCTCCTTTCATTCTGATTTTCCTGCTGGGAAACCGAGGCACAGTGCCTCTTTGCAGAGCGGGAGAGATTTGGGCTCCCGACGGTGTTTCAGAGGCGACGCCACAGAGGTGCCCCAGCCCTGGGCAGCTGCCAACCTGGCAGATCCTGGGACCGAAGGCCACAAATAACCTGAAACATGGGATCTGCTTACATGGAAAATTGATCTCAAACAGGGCAAAGCACAGCTGGGAAGGCAGTAGCTATCCCGGGGGTCCTGCTCACAGGCAAGCACCCAGAAACGATGGGCGCAGAGAGAAGATGCGGGGCTGGAAGAGGTTGTTGCTGGCTCCCATTGCATCTGTGCTGCTCCCCCACTTCGGTTGCTCTTTGTGGTGTTTGAAGGGTCCGTACGCTCCCCCAGATCTCTCTTGGCAACTGAGGGAAGAGCAGAAAGCGCATCCCAAGGAGGACCAGGATGGCCGGACACATCCCCGCCTTGGCTCAAGCAACAGCATCCTGCGCGCCGGCGATTTTTGCAGCCGGTTTTCTTGGGGGAACAGGGGCAGAGGGAAGCCCCATGCTGATAATGTACTGAAAGTAAATGAAATTAAATAAGCGAAGCAGCACTCGCAGCTCCTGCCTTCCCCCCTGGGTAATTCAATTCGAGCGCTCGCGCTGATGGGATCTCGCCAGGGCTGCCTCTGTCACCCCGCTGGGGCCTGGATTCTTAACGTCTAAATAAAAGTTTCACTCAAGCATTTTTTATGCTCCTGCCAGCGGGATCAGCGAGCTGGCATTGGGCACATTAATGTAATATTCATACTCGCAGGGTCTCCCTGTGCATCCGGCAGCACCGTCCCATTTTCATAATTATAAATGTCCCATAAAATGACATTTAGATTTGCATTAGCAAAAGGGGTCGGGGCTTGGATTTGAGAAGGCAATGTGCCTTTTTAAAAGTTAGATGCTTGGCGTTGCTAGAGAAAAACCTGAGTGCGTTTGTGCTGGGCAGGTGCTGGGGAGAAATGAGATTTCCCTGTGCGGGAAAGGCCTGTCCGCGTCCTCCAGGCATTGCAGAGGGGCAAGCCCACGGCATCCCAGGCTTTCCCTAATCTGAATCAACCTCACAGCTTTGCACAAGCCAAGGATTTGGTCTTGGAAGGACCCGGTTTCCAGCCCACAGAGGAGACAGATGTAGGGGAGCCTTTCCACCAACCCAAACTTTGTGTGCCCTTGTGGCTGCTGCTCGCCCCGAGACCCATGTGCAGAGAATTTATAGCGAGTTTGCAAACTAAAACACAAAAATGAAAATAGCCCGGGAGGGAGAGAGGTGACGGGGGATGGATGGGGCCAAGCTGGGCATTAGTGAGACGTGCTAAAAAAACAAGAGAAGCTCCTGTGACCTGGGGCTCTGGGAAGTTACTGAAGAGCTGCCAAGGCTGGGCACTGGGGGGGAGATTAGTGGCATTTAGTTATTTTTTATTGGGTTTTATTACAAGTTATGATGGCAGGAGATGAGCAGGAGAGGAGGAGACCTCAGCAGCAAGCCAGGGCTTGGGGATGTCCTGGCCGTGATGGTTTTGGGGATGAGGTGGGGACATCAGCTTGTGCCGTGAGCGGCAGAGCCCCTCCGGGGCCGCAGGGTCCGGCTGCCAGCCTGGGGCAAGGCGCTGTGGTCTGAGTTAGACCAGATGTTGGACAAAGGGAATGTGTTTTCCAAGTCCATAAACCCAACCGGGTCCTGCCTGCTGCCAAAGGCTCCCAGGGACCCAGAGAGCCTTGGCTGGGGGGTAAAGGGCTGAACATCGACCCCGAGCAGCACCAGCCTCAGCCCGCTGAGCGCAGGTCTCTGTAGCCATGTGAATCATAGAATTATAGAATGGTTTGGGTTGGCAGGGACCTTTAGAGGTCAACTAGTCCAACCCCCCTGCAGTGAGCAGGGACATTTTTGGAATCATGGTCCTGGTTTCCTTAAGGGCTTCTTCTGGGAGCCTGCAGCTGGGATTGGGAATAGCTGGTGAGATCAGTATAGACCATGACTTTCACCTCCAGCCGCTGGTCTGCCTTGCCAAGCCCCTTCTGCAGAGAAAGGGGCTGAAAAAAGTTGCGTGAATGGGAAATCCCAAAGCTTTGCTTTGCTTTGTTCTCTGTAGGACTGGAAGAAGCCCCACTGAAGCCTGTTCAAGACGCAGGGAGCATTTTGATGCAAGGATATCTGGAGAAGAGGTCCCGAGGTAAGGCCTGACACGTGCACCACAAGATGAGGTTTGGGGATGTCACCTCAGAGTTACCAAAAATGCAAACTTTCAGATGAAGAAGAACCAGGAAAATACATTTTCCTGCAGGTTGATCTGCAGGCACACGCAGAATCTTTCAGGCTTTGCTTAGGCATCAAGCACATGGGGAGGGCACAGCCTTTATTTATTCGCTTTTGCAGCTCATCAAACTGCACAAAGATTAAAACCCAGAAATTGAATTAAGCAGCAGCCCAGTCCTCTAAGGCAAGATGTGCCCTTCTAACGAGCAATACCTAATGAGGATAAAACCCCAGTGAAGACAAGGTAGTTCGTAGCATCACACACATTAGCAAGTTGAGATAAGGACTGTGAGTCAGCCTCCGGTTTATCTTGATTTTACTGACTCTTGTGAAAGCTACAAATTATTTCCTCATCACTCAGATTTTATCTTGATTTATTTATTGTATGACAGGCGGTATGAGGCAAGAACAGCCCTTTTCTTCCTCATGGCCATCAGCTGTGCTGTGTAACTGGCCCTGTGCATGCTTTGGCTTGCTCCAATTACAGAGTGAAAGACATTGGCTTAAACCTCAATTAGGGAGGTTAAACCGAAAGCTGTGTTCCCTCCCAGTTAGCAGCACTGAGTGTCGTAGTGGCTTGGCTCGGCTCGGCTCAAGCGAGCTAGGGAAGGCTTGCAGGGGCTCCAGCCTGGTAGGGCAGGCTGGCTCTCCCTTCCTTGGTTGAGTTTTTGTATCTAAATTTGCTTGCCTGCATTTTGTGCCAGAAATCTGCAGGATTTTGTTGGGGAAAAAATTCTTCTTCCCCCTAAATATTCATTTGAAGCACATAATGGAAGAACAGAAATTAGTATTTTTTACTCTTTTGCTGTCCTTTTCTTCCTAGAGCACAGCTTTTTCGGGTCAGAGTGGCAGAAGCGGTGGTGTGTCCTCAACAGAAGGACCTTTTACTACTACGCCAATGAGAAAAGTAAGTGGTGAGGTATCTGCCTCCGGTCCCCGAACTGGGGGTGGTGGCTGAGGGCATGGACAGGGCTGGGGCAGAGAACAGGAGAGCCCTTGCTGAAGGACAGGCTAATATCTGGGAAGAGAAAAGCATCTGCCTCAGGAAGGTTGGAGTTCCCTGTCAGGGCCTGACGTGTAGGTTCTCCCAGAAAGGCAGATCTCAGCTCCCTTCTGCTTTTTTTGTGGTTTTTTTTTCCCCCAAAACACCTCTATAGGTATGGAACAAGAGAAGAGAGACACAGAACAGAGCTGTGTGTAAATAAAATGATGCACCAAGTTTTCCATTAGCCATCAGCCGGGCTTCAACCCCCTAAGTGACTGTATATAATCCGAGTGTCAGTGTATATAAATATTTTGCCGTCACGCTCCATCAGGTACATATAAACAGACAGCTAATATCTCCAACAGAGTTTGGCACGGTGAGATATATGGCCTTCCTCTGTTCCACCCATCCAGAAACACGGTATGAAAACAGCTTACAAAACACAGGCGTCCATCCTTGGCTTACACTGGCCAGCCTGCAGCTAGGACGGGACTAAACTCCAGTGGGTCGTGGGGATGAAGCTGGGTCTGTGTCCTTCTTCCACCTCCTTTGCCTGAGCATCTTGAGCAGTTTTTCCTTCCCCACTTTTTGTTTCCACACCTCCTCTCGCCCTGGCAGGGGCATGAGCTGCTCAGGCTTTCCCAGCGAGCTGCTCGCAGAGGGAGGTGTCGAAGCTGAGGGCTGATATTTGGCTGGTTTTGCGAGGGATGAGCAGTTGTCAGCTTCCAAACAGTCTCCAGAAGACAACAGAGTAAAGCAAACCTGTTATTGATGGGCTGAAATCCTTATTATAGGGCTTGACCTCACCCCTGGATTTTAAGGATCTGCAAATAAAAAAAAAATATATATTCAGAGGAACTGCTTGAATTGTACTCCCACACGTCCTCAGGAAGACTCGTAAGGAAATAATGAGCTGGGGTAAATAAAGACGCCTCGGACGACTGCGGTGAAGTTCCCCCTCTCCGCCCTAGCTGGCACCGGCCGTGCGTGTGCATCGGCAAGATCCGTAGGCCAATTCTCAAAGGCCCTGCTAAGTATTTCTTCCTGTACGCTGGCCCGTTAATGCCTTACCAGCAGAATAATGGCTGGTATCTATTTCCCCAAGTACACGGCGGTCTCTGCTTCATTACAACCGGCTCATCTCCTGCAACCTTCTGACCCTGGCAGCCTTTCGCTGGCTGTTCTCAGGCTCTTGAGGCTTCAAAGGGTATCCTCTTTACTCTGTCTTTATGAAGATTGTATAATATTCCCTCTGCTTTTCCCAGGGGTGGACGTGCTTTGACTGCAGGTTTTTTTCTGGCCGTTTCCCACTGGCGCGTGGTGTGCCTCAGTTTCCTTATGTGGGCAACAGCCACCTGCACCACCCGGCGCTTCTGCAAGCTCGACAAAAAGGTGCGGGCTCCAGATTTATCACATTTCTCTTCTTCCAGGCAAGCACCCTAAAGGCACCTTCTCCATTGAGAACTATAGCGCCCGGCTGGCTTTCCACCTCCGCAAAGACTCTCGGAAAAGATGCTGTTTTGAGTTAATCTGCCCTGGCAAGCGCACCTACGAGGTAGGAACTGGGGGGAGAAAAGGACCTTCTGTGCTGGTTTGAGCACTAGGCACAAAAGCGCACGCTCCCAGGCCCGGGGTGCAGGCTGTGAATCTCCAAACCCCGCGGTAAAACAAAGCAAGCAGCGCTGCGGAAAGTGCCGATGCTTCTCCTTGGCACGGACATTCCCTTGGCACACGAGTGATCCTGGGCTCTCTTAGCACCCATGGGGCACAAGGATTAAGTGAGAACATGGATTAGAAGCAGTAGAGGATTGGGTTTAGAAAGCAGTGCAGAGCCAGGTTAAATTTAAGCCTTCAATTTGTTGAGCACCCAGGGGGGAGCCTAAAAACTGGTGTAATGAAAAACCTGGCCCAATCCACAAAGTGTGCACGAGAGCCTTGCCGAGCTTTGGGCAGATTTTGGAGTCTTGGTTCGGAGTCGGTATGGTATATTCAGTGGGGATTGTGGTTTTCATCGGAATTATTTTAATGAATTAGGCTTGACAGCCTTCCTCTGGGATAGTCCAGCTTTGTTCCGCTTCTGCTTCCCTGTTTGGAACAGGGAGATAAAGAAGTGAAATGGCTTTCCAAAAGTCACAGGGTAGAGAATGGCAGATTCGGGATCTCCATCCCCTATTTTAGCTGCAAATCTTTTTCCTCTTCCTACCTACAAGAACCAGCACAGTAACAGGCCAACCTCTCTCCAGTTCACAGCCCCAAGCCCGGCAGAGGCTGAAGACTGGGTGGATCAGATCCAGTTCCTCCTGAAGGGTGAGTCTGGCAGCTTGGTCCGAGCGCACCCGGTTTGTTTGGGCAGATCCTGGCAGCGTCCCCCCACCCAGCTTGAGCTGCTCCCTCCAGCAACGGGTGGGCTTGTGCCCATTGCCAAGACGGCGCTGTGGTCCCAGCAGCTCCTCTTAGCTAAAGGAGAGGTTCTGGGGCCTTGCTCTTCCCCACAAGTGGTTAAAGAGAAGTGGTGGTTTGGAGCACACAGGCATTTGGTTTCAACTCGAGAACTTTTGGCTGCTTTTGGAGGGTGGAGCTGGGTGATCCCTCAAAGGCTGCAGGTGTCATCAGGTGGGACAAGAAACGGCTGGGAGTTGCTCCTCACTGCTGGGGCTGCAGAGCTGCTGCTCTGTCCCTGGCTGAGGAGGGATGGGGTTTGGCTCCACTGGAGTTGCTCCAGTTTGAGACCAGCAATACTGAGACAAGACTCCAGCCCTGCGTATGAAGACCCTCTGGAAACCACAGGCACCTGCCCAGGAATGCGGTCAGGCTCAGTTCCTCGAGGCCCTTGATGAATTTGGCTTTGTTCTCTGGCATTTGCCATCCTTTCTTGGGCTTTTCCTTTGTTTTAGCCTCTTCTCAGCTCCCATCCCGTTTTCTTTATACCAGGTGCTTGTGGGCCAAGCAAGGGGACAGTTGACTCCCTCTGAGGTCCCCAGTGAGCCTGAAGTACAGTGGCACAAGCTTTGTTCCTTGATTTCGACTCGCTGGAAGTACCAGTATCCAGCTGGTGCTTTGTTCTGCTCTTTTTCACCATGCTTTTGCTCTCTCCTGCCAGACCTGAGCTCCCTCACTATCCCATATGACGAGGAGGATGAAGAAGAGCTCTACAATGACGTGGACAGTTCTGACTCTGTGAATACAGCATCCCACAATACCACCCTGAATCAGGATGATCCAAACATGGAGATGGAAGAGGATGACATCTACGAGGTTTTGCCAGGTAAGCAACCAAAGAAGCAGGTTAAAACCCGAGTCCTCCCCCAGCCTGAGCTCTGCAAACGTGGCAGGAGGCCTTGGCCACATCACACGTTGATGGGAATGAACAGCAAGGGCTCTGCTGAGTTTAACGGAACCATAACTCAGAGGTTTGACCCCGTTCCTTTGTTCAGACTGGTTGATGGACCACCAGAGCAAACCCTTTCTGTTCTGGCAAGGCAGAGGGTTTGTAAATTCAGGTGAGGTGGCTTTTAGAGGTTGTGCTCCGTTCAGCTCGAGTAATATTAAGTTTGGTGAGAGTGAAATCTCTGGGCTGTGTTACCTGGAAAATCAGACTTTAGATGATGAAAATGCTCCCTTCTGGGCATGCAGTCATGGCTGTAACACAATTACTGGCCTTCCAAGAGATGATAAAATAAGTGCATTAAAGACGAGTGCTTGTTCACTGACGGCGCACGAGGTCTGGGGGCAGCAGGGCAGCGGCTGCCGGTTAAAGGAGCCAGGAGCAATCTTCCTGGAGTAGAACCAAACAACCTGTGAGGGTGACATGGTCTGCAACATCTCTTGCTGTTACAGCCGAAATCACAGCGTGACGTGCCCCAGGGCTTGGTCAATGGGTCACCTGAGCCTGATTCAAACGCATGTGCTGTTCGGGCTCTGTGCTGAGGTGGGGATCGCCCAGCTCTCTGCACCCTGTCCCCAAGAACCAGGTACCTCGGTGCCTGCGTTCAGAGATGCAAAACAGGTCCTTGTTTCCTCTTATTTATTTCCGAACTTTACATTTGTAGTGATTAAGAAAAAAATACTAAATGCACCAGAAAGTTTTACGGTGCCTGGGATCTTTGTCTTGTTGTTGCTGCCAAAGGAAATCTCTGCTCAGACGTTTGCAAGTGGCATCCAGGGAGCGGAGCTGGGGCTCCAGGGCTGCCTGCGCAAAGCCTCAGCCTCTGTCCATCCTCATCTTTCCTTCCCCACCTTCCCTTCCTCTGTTCACGTCCTCAGCTCTTTGGGCAGCAGCGTGCTCTTCCTCCAGGCGTACCTACAGCAATCCCTGCGCTCGGCAGGAGCCTGTGCCCCATGGTCCCCGGGTGGGTGCGGACGAGGTGCTGCCAGCCCAAGGGCTTTCCACATCCCTGGCAGCCATGCCCAGCTCCTCGCTGCCTCATGGCTGCCAACGCCGACTGCAGAGCAGATATTAGACGTGAGGTTTGCTCCACATGTAGCTAACAGTGATCCTGCTCAGAGCTCGCACGGGGTTGATTTAGGGACAGATCCCTCTGCTGCTGCTGCTCCGGGATGCATCGGAGGAGCTGGGGCTGCCCCTGCCAGCCAGGCTCCATGGATGTTGCACTCCTGCTCCCACGCACGGATCGGCGCCCTGATGCTGGGGCTGCAGAGAATCGTGGTGGAGGAGGGAACATCCCCGCCAGACCCTTCCTTTAATTATGGACTTTTACTGTGCCCTCTGTCCTGCCCATCCCAGCTTCTTAAAAGCTTGCTAAGAGGTTCCGACTCAGCCCACAGGGTTGTGTCTCAGCCTGCAGGCTTGAAACCCCTTGCTTTAGCGGGACTTTTGCGGTGTCCTTTGGCCCTGCTGTGTGGGCATCCCAGGGGCTCTGCTGCCGTGCGGGGGCTGCTGTCCCTGGGGCTCGGCCGAGCCTCCTGCGCCCAGCATCACGGCTGCACTGAGCCAAGGTGTGGGCAGGAGCTGCGGGATGGCTGCTCGCGTCGCCGCTGCCCACCAGCCATCGGGAATCCTGCCTGCAGCTGGCGGCTGGAATCGCAGCGGCATGCTGGGACGCAGCTCAGACACTGTGCAGGATGCTGCTGGTGGGAAGCAAAGCCACAGCTCTCCCATCTGGGCAAGGGTCTCACCCCCCGCACGCCCCAGTTCCCCACTGGGCTGAAGGTAGGTGGTGGCGGCATGCTGCTGCAGGGGCAGATGCCCAGCGTGCGAGTGGTGAGGAACCGGTTGCAGGGCTCAGGGGCAGGTGGGAGGCGTCTGCTCTGCCCCGAGCTCATCCCCCCCAGCCCTTGGCACCCCTGGGACTCCCCAGCAAGCGCAGGGAAAGTCCCCGTCCGAGCTGGGGTCTCCTCTGGGCCCAGCTGCCTCCCTCGTGTCCCGAGTGAAAATAGAGAAAGAGGGAGAGGGAAAAAAAAAGGAATGGGGGGGGAGATGAGGAGATAATTTCCTCAGCAAGTCATCGTTGTTAATGAAGTTTTACAAAAACAGATACAACCAAGGAAAAATAAAATTTCACAGGTGATAAATTTTTCCAATTTCCCTGGCAGAATTCGATAGGATTGTTAAATTAAGAGTGAAGGTGTCTGTTAGGAAGCAACGAGCAGTGATGGGTAATTTTATAGAGTGGAAAATTGAATCAAATTGCTACATTAAAACACAGCTCCTCTGAGAATCTGCCCAACGCCCCGGCTGCTCTGATGCAGCAGTGGGGTGCACGGCTGCCGGCTCCCCGGCCCTGCCTGGGGCTGGGGGCTGCCATGGGGCTCTGGACCCAGGGTGCGGGTGCCCGGGCTGCCCACGGGGGTGTAAAGGCATTTTCCCGAAAGTGGTGTGGCCGAGGCTGTGATGCTCCGCACCGGGAGGCAGCAGAGAGGGAAGCAGCACAGCCCCCAGGAGGTGCATTTTTCAGTATTTCCCTCCGATTCATCACTATAAAATCCAGATATTGGTTGAGATCAAACAGCCAGGCCCTGGAAAGGCAGAGCATCGCTTCCAGACTTGACTCAGGAAAGCACCTGGCTGCAACAGGCTGCAGGGCTGCGGCGGGGACGGGAGCTTGTCACGTCCATGGGCCCCGTGCAGGAATTGCACAGCTCAAAATCTGCAAGGACAGTGCCCGGGGCCAGCGTGCCGCAGCATGAGCCATGGTGCAGGCAGGGCTCAGCAGCACCCCAGGATTAGTGCCTTCACCTCGGCCATCCCAGGGTGCCTGCACCCATGCTGCAGGCAGGCAGAGGCTGTGCCTGGCCCCTCTGCAGCATTGCGGGAGAAGATGGGGTGCAGGAGGGCGAGTGGAGCTGACTGCTGTCAGCGAGGGGAACCCACACCAGCCAGCTGCCTCCCCACCACGTTCTCCCAAGAAAAATCCCACCCGAGTTTCCTCCCATCTGCAAAGCCTCCGTCCATCCCAGCCCTCGCAGCCCATCGGCCTCTAAGAGTTCCTGCGGGGCGGCCAGCCCTGAGCGCGCTGGGCAGAGCAGGGACCGGGCATCGCCTGGGGTCTTCCTCCAAGCACCATTTGCAAAAGGCACGGAGTGGGTGGTCAGCAGGGCAGGGGCTTGGCTAAAGAAAGGGAAACTGAGGCACAGAGGACTGAGACACAGGAGAGCACCTCGTCCAAGCCGTGGAGCAGTCGGCTGCCAAGCTGATGTCTCAGGTGGGCGATGCAAGTAGGGAGGGGGTCCGTGGCTTTGATTTCTGGTTAGAACATGCCCTGTGACATCAAATAGAGAATGAAACAGCCCATGGTGGGAGAAGGGGAGGGGGCTGCTTGGGAAGCCTCCCCAGCCCCTGCCTGGCAGCCTCGCCTGGCTCCTGGAGAGCGAGGATGTGGAGGAGCAGCAGCTCTCCGTGGGGCGAGGGGTCAGGACCCGCAGAGCTGCCCCAGCTCGTTAGGGGCTGTAAATGTGACTCCCCATTAGCTGTGCCAGCAAGGGGGACCGGCTCTGCAATGGGGGGGGGGCTACTAGGAAATCAAGGAGGAAGCAGGACAGATACCCCTAGGGTCCTCAGGGCACCCCCGAGTGCCCAGCACCACATCCAGGCAGGGAGCCGGAGCTGGGCAGGGAGGCAGCAGTGCCAGCCCCCTCCGTGTGCAGGGATCACGCAGCTTTGCTCATCTTGGAAAGCCAGCGGCAGTGTTTCCTCCGTGGCACGTATGGTCCTGCGCCAGCGCTGGCTGACGCTTCCCAAGGAGCATGTGTGCATGCCGGGAAGCGGGAGAAGGGCTCTGGGAAAGAGGTTTCCTGAGGACAGCCTGGCTCCGGGATGGCAGCAGTGCCTGCAGGATGCCGGAGGGGCGGGGAGGTGCTGGCGGGGAGCCCCTGGGTGCAGGGGTCACCCGCAGCAGGGGGGGAACGATGCTGCCCCGCTTTGGAGGATGGCTCAGGGGTTTTCGTGGTGCACAGGCACGGGAGATGGTTTGACCGCCCTCCCGCCTTGCGCCAAGGTGGGATTAGGGGATTTGGTGCCGTTGGTTAAAGTATAAAGGAATCCAGATGCGAGGGTTCGGGGGGTGCGCGTGGGAATGATGGGGGGAGAGTGCTGTTACAAATACATTTATGTTCTCTTTTACAAATGCAAAGAGCAGGCAAAAGCCACTTTCAATAATTTATTTTAAAATCAATGCTAATGAGGTTCTGTCTCGTCAGTGGCCGAGTTTTACAATAAAGTCTGATTTATTTAGAAAAGATCTTTGGTGCTGCTTCCCGTCTAATGGGGGAGCAGTTGCAGTGACCCTCCAACTTGGGATGCAATTTGTAATTGGCAGCGGAGGTCTGACCTGGTTTGCATTGATCAGCGCCGAGCGGGAGAGACGGCTGGGGCCGCGGCCGAGCCGCAGCAGCAGCGCTTCGCTGCCTTGCCATCGGGTGCCGTGGGATCAGGAGAAGACCCAGGCTCGGTTTCTGTTGGCTCTGCCTAAAGGTGACAGCAAAGCCGCGTCCCCTGAGATGCAACAGGGCCGCCTCTTCTGTGCCGGGCGCCCTGACAGCCCTTTGCCAGCAGCGGTCTAAGAGGCACAGGCGAGCAATTTGCCTGAGCGTTGGCTTTCTGAAACGTTTCAAACCGGACTTTTATTTTATTTATATTATTTTACTAGGTTGCTTCCAGTCTTTAGGGTTGCAGAAGGAAGCCTGGGCTGTGGTGGCAGCTAACATGGGTGCTGTGCACCCAGCTCGCCCCAGCACCCAGAGCAGCTCGAGGCTGGGTGGGTTGTACCCAGCTTGGTGTTAAAGAATCTTATTTAGTGTGTGGATCCTTGCTCCGTCAGCTGCTGGCCATTTTTGCAGGGCTTTCCTGTGACTTCCAGCCCCTCTGTCCTTAACCTCTTCCACAATATCATTTATTTTCTTGCACCCTCTTGCCCCATCCTCTGTAGCCGTGCCCGCCTGCCCACCCTCTGCTGCCTGGGCTCTTCTTTCTCCTCCTTCATTTCTGCTTCTGTCCCCCATCCTTCCTCGCGTTTCTGTCCTGGCATTTCTCCTCAGCATCTCCTTTTCTCCAGGCTGTGAGTCCTGCGCAGGAAGCGTCTCTTCCTACAGGGCACTTGGCAAAGTGCTGCCTAAATTTATGAGCCTATAAGAAGTGATTTGTTTTTACCAGTGTTAACAACAATTCATATTTTTATGCAACGTGTTTTAAAATATTATCTGTGACTTCCTCCCTTCTACTCTTCACAATTAAGCTGGGAATTTATTATTCTGACAGTCGGATGCTCTTGCAGCCCTCTGCCTGCCCGGGGGTTTGGTGCAGCAGTGACGCTCCCAGCCCTTCCCCTGACTTCTCTGCTGTTTCCCCCCCCAGATGAGGAGCTGGAGCCCCCCGGCCCCGAGGACAGCGAGGGTGCCAGGAGCAAAGAGAGAAGCGGTAAGAGCCCACCCTACTTTGGCCAACTCAAAGGACCTCCAGGTCGTGGTTGGGGGGACTAAGTCCAGCCGCCTTCGAGCATCCTGGGGTGCGGGTGGTGGTGGAGGGGTCTGTGGAGGACAGGAGGGTCCCCAAGAGCAGACTCATGGGTGACAGAGAAGACTCTGCAACTGGTGAGGTTCGGACAGCTCAAGCTCGGGGAGCTCTCCCCATCTTCTCCATGCTACGGGCATGGGGGATGCCTCTCCTTTTTGGACAGGTACGCCCTGGGGAGTGGCCTTAGTGAGCTCTGCACAGGGGAGCCCCAACATCCATCCCCTCTCCTGCCTGATGAGATCTGTGCGCTGATGGATCTCCCATGGAGGCACACCCATCCCCATCCCTCATCCTGTCCTGGAGCGTGGAGAGGGAGCCAGCCCTGCTGGCACATCCCGAGGGGCTGGGGGAGAGGCTGGGGCAGAAACAGCCTGGAGGGAGGGCAGGAAGAGAGTCATGGCCCAGAGGAAGCCGACGCAGGGAGGGATCTCGGTGCGGGAAGCCGGAAGGACGCGCACCACCACCCCAGGAACCAGCGCCGCCCGCCCGGAACCGGCAGCCCGAGCGCCTGCCATGGTCACCAGGGCCCCCACCCCTGCTTTTTCCTTGAGGACCCGCACCGTGGGACAGGAGCGGAAGATCTGTTTCCTCCCCGGTCCCACCTGCTTTGCTTTCCATTGCTGCTTCCTCCCCAGAGCAGGAAAGCTGTGCTTGTGTCTGAGCAGCCGGGGCTGGGCTGGCCAGGGGCTTCCTGCCGCCCTGCTCGCTCCTCGCCGCATGGGAAAACACGTCCTCCTGGCAAAGCCTGGCCTGGGAGAGCTCCCCGCACCATCCTCCTGCTCTGGAGCTTGGAGGGGACGGTCTCACCCTGGTGATGCCTGGCTTGCAGGGTGCCTGCCCAGCCAGGGACCCGCAGCAGGCGTCCCGCTTGTTGGGTGATAGAGACTGGCAGGGTTCGGTGCTGGATGCTGTGGGTGGTGAAACCAGCTTCCCGCATGCTTCTGCTCTCCTGGATGCGCAAGCACCCCAAGCATTGCTCAGCTGGTTTACCCCTCCCCGTGGCCCGAGAGCCCCCGTGCCCAAGTTCCTGGTGTTTCTGGAAAGCCTGATCCAACATCCAACAAGCCCTTGAGCCAACATCAACCCCCCTTGGATGTTTCCTGGGCAGTTGCCCCCAGCCCGGGAGGGTGCTCAGGCGTGTTTCTACCGAAATCTCAGTAGCACAGACAGGGTTGAGTCCTAGCTGCTTGCAGGGGCTGGAGCAAGCCACCGTTTCTCTGCTCCTCATGGTTTTGCAGAGCTCATTTCCCACCCCCTGGCACGATGACTTATTTGGCCGCTGGAGCATGTGGCAGCTGCAGCCGGGACCAGCCCCCAGAGCTTGGAAAAAACGACGTCCCGATCTTTATAAACTGTATGGTGGTCATAAAGCGGGACCGCGTGCTTTTCCTGTAGGCTCCTCGGCGTGGGGTGAGGAAAGCAGGAGGCGATGGGACACGCATGCACACACACACGTTTTTCTTTGCCTTTCGCTACATTTAAACATCCAAAGGATCAGGCGTCAGAAAAGCCGCTCCCCCGTGGGTTTTGCAGCTCAAGGCAGGGGGGTCCGTGGGGTGCAGAGCACCGCTCCGTGGCAGGCTGGTGCCAGCGGTGCTGATAAACCCGCACCCCAAGGCCACCCCGAGGATTTTGGCTCTCGCCTGTCACAGCCCTGCCAGCCATTTAAACACCCTGCTCATACTCATTAGCATCTGCCTGGCGGTTGTAATTGTTGTTAATCGTTATAACTGGTTTAGTTATCAGCGTTGTCATGATTGCTTTAAGTCCTGTGTCTGTTTTTACACTAAATAATACATTCGACTCTTGCTTCTGAAATGCTGGGCTGCATTTCAAGAGGGAAAGGTTATGGCAGCGCCGGGAACTCCAGCCCTCGTGCCTTTTGCCGTGGTAATTTGTGCTTCCGTCCAACTGGACCAAGGGCGAGAAAGAGGTGACGGGAGCCTTTGAGCAGAGGGCCGGGCTGCGGGGAGGGAGGGAAGGGGCTATTTCTTAATTATATCACACGGCCAAAGTGCCAGATGAGCATTTGGCTAATGGAAAACTATTGTTCCTAATTTCTAAGAACCACAAGGATGCCACGATGCTGGAGCAGCCCAGCAAATCCAGCTGAGAGCTTCAGGCTGCTCCTGCCAGGACACCCATTTGCTCTGCTCAGGGCTGCTTAATCCCTGCCTTCTGTGCTGGCCGGGCTGCGGGGCAGCTGCGGAGCGAGCTTACCCACCGAATACGAACAGAGCAAAAGTCTTCTACCTGGAAAATAAAAAAAGCCTCGCAGCCTGCCCCCTGCCACAGTGCCCTGCGCTCAGGGTGGCAGCAGGTTTCACGGAGCACGAGCGCAGCCGGGCAGACCCCTGAGCTGCCGATGGTTGTCATTAGGTTTCAGCATCAACAGGCTTCTGAAGCAACACGCCCAAAGCAAAGGGGTCAGGGAGGGATCGTGCCTCTTCCGCAGCCCCTGCTTGGGGCTGCTCAGGCTGCAGAAGGAAATGATGCGGTTGTCACATTTGGCTGGGTTTCTTAACGACCCCAAGGCCCATAAACATGGGAGCAGGCTCTCGTCCCACTTACATCAGTGTAAATCAGTCGCGCTGAAATCACGGCTCTGCCCCGAACACAGCTTTAAGTGCCCAGATGGGGCATCGGGGCTTTTGAAACAAACCCTCTTTTCTGTAAAAGTGAGCAGATTCATTCCACAGGGTAATGCAGGAGCGCTAGGGTGGCTTGTGCAGATCCAACCCACAGCCCACCCAGCCTGGAGTGGGCAGGGTGGGAGGATCGTGGACATCCCCGTCCCCTGTTGAGGCTGCAGAGCGAAGTTCTCCCTTGCCTGGCCTTATCCTGAAGTGCTAAAATGGGAGCCAGGATCCTTTTTCTACAAACGGTCTTAATTTTAACAAGATATTCTTGGTCGCTGGCACAAACATCTTCATTGCTTTTGAAGCCGCGGCTGGGAACGGCGCGCAGAGCCTGACCGCACTTTCGTTGTGAGGGATCTTCCTCATCTGATGCAATTAATTCTGACCTTTTGAAGGCAGGGTTGCAGGGAGGGGTGAGACCTTGCACCCAACCAGCTGACGTAGTTGGAAAAAACTTGTGGAAGCGTGAACCTTCCCGCGGGCTGGAAAATCTTCTCCCTTTGTGCTCACAGAGTTGTCACGTCCAGGCTCGTGCACATGGCCTCTGCAAAGTCTCCATTTTACCAATAGCTTCTCCTTTCACCACTCCTCAAGGGGGTGGCCAGATGGCTCCAAGGTCCTCTGGCTCCTTTGAGGAGCAGGAAGGAGCAGATGCGGGATAGGGAGGCACCTCCCAAGCGTTCCTGGTAAATGAGGGACGATTAGGACGAGTCTGATGCCAGCTTCCCGGCAGCATGCTCCCTGTGGGCGAGCAGATGCCCAAGTCCCTGTCCAGGGGGAGCTCTGGGTAGGGAACAGGCACTTTTGGCTCTGGAAGCATCTTGTAGGAAGGTGTATCTGCTATCTCAACCCCAAGCCCCTTCCCCTCCCAAAAAAGTTAGCGCCAGAGAGCAGAGCTCTGACGAGGAGCAGAGGCTGATGTGGGGGACCGCTGTTTAAGTCTCTTGGCCAGCACATGGATAGCGATGCTCCGTAGAATTTCGGGTGGTTTAGATACCACGGAGCAGCCTCTCCCCAGTCTTGGCCCCCAGGGGACATGGGCAGGTCAGGGCCAAGCGCCGTCCCCCCGTACCAGGTTATTCTCTGCATCACGATGTTGTCCTCACACGCTCCCATAACGACCTTTTGTGTTAATTGCACAATTTGCTGGCTCCTACCAAAGCTGCTGCTTGCCTCGTCCTCCTGCTCAGCGCCCGCACGCCCTGATATTTCCTCTGCCTCCAGTTCATAACCTCTGGTTCCTGTACTTAGCACAAGCTTAAATAACTCAGGAGCTCCTACTCCTCCTATTCCCTTCCCAATCTTTTCCTCGCCACTGTGTGCTCCCCCTTTAATACTTTCCAAAGGATGCAGACCTACTTTTTTTTTTCCCAGCCTTTCTATTTAAGTTCCCCAAGTCCCTGAGTCATTCCAGTTGCTCCCTGCTGTGCCATTATCCATCTCTGTAATGTCCTTTTTCATATTTAGGTGATCAAATCTGGGCACAGTACTCCAGATGCACCCTTATCACTCGGTCCCTTATACCATATTAGAAACATTTCTTCCACCATGTGCTCGATATTTTCTATTTATGCTTTCTGGGCTTGGTTCAGCCGCATGGCAGAGCGGCACAGAGCGCTGGTACAGCCCCAGTGCTCGAATCCTACCCCCCCACCCGCAGAATGTGGTTTTACTGGGTTTAATTATCCATGGGGGTCGCATCATGGAGATGCCCATGTCATGACATCTGGATTCACCCCCGCTTTGGTGCCATGCCATCAGAGCAGTCTCCTGCCTGAAGCCTTTGGTCCAGGAGCCTGTTTTAACAGTTGTCTTGCGTGCTTGAAAAGTGGGAATCTGGGGGGGCGGGGGTTGGGTTGGTTTTTGCTGCTGTGAAGGGTCTGTTGGCTGTGCTGGGATGAGTCGCTTCCCCAGCCTGCAAACTGGGCAGAGCAGCGTCTCCTCCGATCGTGGGGCTCTGCGGGGCATCGGGCTCATCTGGTCCCACGGCACGGCGGGATGCTTTCTGCGCCCGCCGCGGGGACCCACCTACCACAGCGGCTCTGGTCTCTGGGCCAGTTTTTGGGGTGGGAAACGCCGTTCTGAGATGGCAAAGATGGAAATGCTTCATTCTGGAAATGCTGCTGCGACATTTTCCAGAAAGCCCATGTGCACATTTAGCCCAGGGCGGTCCCCAGCCTTGGCACCATTTGCCAACAGCCTCATCAGCCCAAACCCGCGGCTTTCAGCAAACAGATCATTTGCTTCTCCTCCCGCCCTCAAAAAAAAGGGAAAAGCGAGTTTGCTGGCTCACATTCCCTTTCCTTCTGTGATCACAGGCATCGAGCAAAGGCTCTGCCTTCCCAAACTCACAGCGCGACGGGCAGATCGAGACCTGAGCTATCAGGTTGTATCGTGCCGTAGGAGGTTTGGGACCTTCTCTGACCTCCCAGGAATGGGGGTGAAGGCAGATTTGCTCCCTGCTCTCCTCCCATCCCTGTCCCTGCTCCGGGTGCTCCCAGTTGCTGCTGTTTGCTCGCTGAGCGGGCCCTGCTCTGTCAACTGCAATCCCCTGCTTGGCTTCTTTAATTAATAAATAACCTTGGCTATCGCCTTCCCCAGCAGCCTGCTCCCGGAGGCCCCGTGCAAATACCCACCTTAATTAATGATAGCCCCCTTCCATGGCCGCTGGCGTGGCAGTCACCGTGGTGGGGATGCTGCCTGGCAGAGCTGGCGCTGGTGCCACGCGTCCCCTCTTGACCAGGTTACGGGCGTCCACCTCGGGGACAGCTCGGTTTGAGCCTGAGGAGGTGACGAGGGACTTGGGAGAGAGGGAAAAGGCATCTTTGGTTGCCTTTGTGATTTGTAGTAAACGGCTTTAATTTGGGGTCTTCTGAAACGGAAGCGTTTATCAATGGTTATGTGTGTTTTCTGATAGATATTGCATTTATTTATTGACCAGCCCCATTTATTTATCGACCAGCCCCTTTTTCTTGCCGTACCTCTTTGCCCCCTCCACCCCACAACCCCAGTATTTCCCCCTACCATTCCCTGTCACCGTGACCCCTCCTCTTTATTTTTTTTCCAGGAGGTCCCTGCCAAGATTACGCCAACTACTACCAAGGCATGTGGGACTGCAGCAGCGAGCATCCCGACGAGCTCTCCTTCCAGCGCGGAGAACTCATCTACATCCTCAGCAAGGTACAGCACCACCGGCAGCCCCGTCGTCCTTGTCGTGGGGCTGGGGCTCAATTGCAAGGTCAAAAGCTGATGAAATTGGTAAAAAACTGGGGCCAAAGCAGAGGTAAAGTAGCAATTTAGTGGAGAGGGGAGCAGGGTGCCGGGGTCCAGGTCCTGTGTGTATGCGCAGGACCCAGACCCTGGCACCCCTCTCCCCTCTCCATGACCGCCCCATCCTGCCTGTACCCCCTGCCTGCACACATGGCATTTCAAATGCCCCAAAGCAAGATTATTTTAGGTATTTTTTTCTATTTTTTTTTTTGCCACGGTAATGGAGTCTGTACGTGCTGTTGCTCAGGTATTACAGGGGTAATTGAGTTGCTCAGCCGGGTGTGACCAGGGCTCCCTTCGGCAAGCGCACGCAGGTGAATAAATTAAGTGTTTGCATTAGCGGGGCTGTGGGGGCAAGAGCAGAGCCACGGGTGCCTGTGACCCTCTCCCAGCCCCGCTCGTCCCCGCAGGTCTCTGGCCTGGCTCCCAGCCGGTCCCTGCCGGACCACGGTGGCCCTGGCTGGCAGCGATGAGCTGGGGCGGTTGCATTGGTTGGGTGATGTTTTGCAATGCGCTTTGCACCCTGATCTGGCACGGGAGCAGCCATGAACTTGGGGGTTGCATTTTGCTGGTGGTGTTTTGCAATGCGCTTTGCACCCCAATACAGCGCAGGAACAGCGATGAACTTGGGAGGCTGCGCTTTGTTTTGCAACGTACTTTGCACCCCAAAGACAGCGATGAACTTGAGGGGGTTGTATGGTGTGGGCGATGTTTTGCAACGTGCTTTGCACCCCGATACAGCACATGGGCAGGGATGAGCTGGGACGGTTGCAGTGGTTGGGTGATGTTTTGCAATGCACTTTGCACCCTGATCTGGCACGGGAGCAGCCATGAACTTGGGGGGCTGCATTTTGTTTGTGGTGTTTTGCAATGCGCTTTGCACCCCAGTCCGGCATGGGAACAGTGATGAATTTGGTGGCCGTGCCCCGTCTGCCCTTGGTGGGCGCCCACCCGGGGAAGGTCAAGTGGACGTGATATGGGGAAGGGCGGTGCGTGCAGTGGTGGCTACGGACCTTTGGAGATGAGGGGCACCTCTGAGTTTCAGGCTTGTAAAGGCCAAGGCCGTGTTTTATAGCTGAGAGAAAGAATCAGGTTTAGTTTTGCATCCTGGCGGGAGTCACAGGATGTCCCCGGGGTGGACATGGGTGATCGGATGCTGCAGCGATGGGCAGAAGAGCCATGGTGGCAGCGTCGGGCTCCCTTGGAGGCTTGTCCATCCATCAGAGCCCTCGAGGCTGGACCCGCAGCCTGGGGGTCCTTCACCCCTGCAGGCTCCGAGCTCCCAAAGGTTTGCAGCCAGCACGGCATGGATGTTTTTAGCTGGCAGATTTGAGGCCGGCTCCCATGTGTCCCTGCAGAGGCAGCTGCATCCCTGGCAGCAGCAGAGAGCAGCTTTGAGTCTGGGCTTCGCCATCCCTTTCTGGAAGGCTAAGAATTCCCCATCTGTGGATCTCAAAGCACTTTACGGCAGCATTTAGTGACCCACAGCACCCCCGGGACAGGGCTGACGTGCTCCGGGCACCGAACCCACAGCCCCAACTCGTAACCTCATTTATCCAGGGGGGTGACACCAGGAGTAACCCACCGCCGTCCCTGGGGGCGATACCCGCAGCCCTCGGTGCCCACGCCAGTGCCTCGGTCCATCCCACCGATGGCCGAGTGGGTTGGGTCCCCCCCGCGCCAGCTCGGGGACACAGCTTGGAGTCACGGCAGGGTTTTCGCTCTCTTCAGTGGCTCCAGATTGCGACTCTTGTGCTGGCTTCCTCACACGTAACGGATTGGTCCTGAGAGCTTTTCCC